GTATCTAAGAATTTGTCCATTTCTTCCAGGTTGTCCATTTTATTGGCATAGAGTTGCTTGTAGTAATCTCTCATGATCCTTTGTATTTCTGCAGTGTCAGTTGTTACTTCTCCTTTTTCATTTCTAATTCTATTGATTTAAGTCTTCTCCCTTTTTTTCTTCATGTGTCTGGCTAATGGTTACCCATTTTGTTTATCTCCTCAAGGAACCAGCTTTTAGTTTTATTGATCTTTGCTATCATTTTCTTCATTTCTTTTTCATTTATTTCTGATCTAATCTTTATGATTTCTTTCCTTCTGCTAACTTTGGGTTTTTTTTGTTCTTCTTTCTCTAATTGCTTTAGGTGCAAGGTTAGGTTGTTTATTTGAGATGTTTCATGTTTCTTAAGGTAGGATTGTTTTGCTATAAACTTCCCTGTTAGAACTGCTTTTGCTGCATCCCATCATTTTTGGGTCATCGTGTTTCCATTGTCATTTGTTTCTAGGTATTTTTAAATTTTGTCTTTGATTTCTTCAGTAATCACTTCGTTATTAAGTAGTGTATTGTTTAGCCTCCATGTGTTTGTATGTTTTACAGATCTTTTCCTGTAATTGATATCTAGTCTCATAGCGTTGGTGTCAGAAAAGATGCTTGATACGATTTCAATTTTCTTAAATTTACCAAGGCTAGATTTGTAACTGAAGATAGGATCTATCCTAGAGGATATTCCATAAGCACTTGAGAAAAACGTGTATTCTGTTGTTTTTGGAAGGAAAGTCCTATAAATATCCATGAAGTACATCTTGTTTAATGTATCATTTAAAGCTTGTGTTTCCTTATTTATTTTCATTTTGGATGATCTGTCCATTGGTGAAAGTGGGTGTTAAAGCCCTTACTATGATTGTGTTACTGTCGATTTCCCCTTTTAAGGCTGTTAGTATTTGCCTTATGTATTGAGGTGCTCCTATGATGGATGCATAAATATTTACAATTGTTATATCTTCTTCTTGGATCGATCCCTTGATCATTATGTAGTGTCCTTCTTTGTGTCTTGTAACAGTCTTTAATTTAAAATCTATTTTGTCTGATATGAGAATTGCTACTCCAGCTTTCTTCTGATTTCCATTTGCATGGAATATCTTTTTCCATCCCCTCACCTCAGTCTGTATGTGTCCCTATGTCTGAAGTGGGTCTCTTGTAGACAGCATATATATGTGTGTTGTTTTTGTATCCATTCAGCCAGTCTGTGTCGTTGGTGGGAGCATTTAATCCATTTACATTTAAGGTAATTATCGATATGTATGTTCCTATTCCCATTTTTTAAAGTGTTTTGGGTTGTTATTGTAGGTCTTTTCCTTCTCTTGTGTTTCTTGCCTAGAGAAGATCCTTTAGCATTTGTTGTAAAGCTGGTTTGGTGGTGCTGATCTCTCTCAGCTTTTGCTTGTCTGTAAAGGTTTTAATTTCTCCGTCAAATCTGAGTGAGATATTGCTGGGTAGAGTAATCTTGGTTGTAGGTTTTTCTCCTTTATCACTTTAAATATGTCCTGCCACTCTCTTCTGGCTTGCAGACTTTCTGCTGAAAGATTAGCTGTTAACCTTATGAGATTCCCTTGTGTGTTATTTGTTGTTTTTCCCTTGCTGCTTTTAATATTTTTTCTTTGTATTTACTTTTTGATAGTTTGATTAATATGTGTCTTGGCGTGTTTCTCCTTGGATTTATCCTGTATGGGACTCTCTGTTTTTCCTGGACTTGATTAACTATTTCCTTTCCCATATTAGGGATGTTTTCAACTATAATCTCTTCAAATATTTTCTCAGTCCCTTTCTTTTACTCTTATTCTTCTGGGACCCCTATAATTTGTATGCTGGTGCACTGAATGTTGTCTCAGAGGTCTCTTAGACTGTGCTCAATTCTTTTCATTCTTTTTTCTTTATTCTCTTCTGAAGTAGTTATTTCCACCATTTTATCTTCTAGGTCACTTATCCGTTCTTCTGCCTCAGTTATTCTGCTATTGATCCCGTCTATTTTTAATTTTATTTATTGTGTTGTTCATCATTGCTTGTTTCGTTTTTAGTTCTTCTAGGTTCTTGTTAAATGTTTCTTGCATTTTCTCTATTCTATTTCCATGATTTTGGATCATCTTTACTATCAGTATTCTGAACTCTTTTTCAGGTAGACTGCCTATTTCCTCTTCATTTGTTAGGTCTGGTGGGTTTTTACCTTGCTCCTTCATCTGCTGTGTGTTTTTCTGTCTTTTCATTTTACTTATTGTATTGTGTTTGGGATATCCTTTTCACAGGCTGCAGGTTCGTAGTTCCCATTGTTTTTGGTTTCTGTCCCCAGTGGCTAAGGTTGGTTCATTGGGTTGTGTAGGTTTCCTGGTGGAGGGGACTAGTGCCTGTGTTCTGGTGGATGAGGCTGGATCTTGTCTTTATGGTGGGTAGGTCCACGTCTGGTGGTGTGTTTTGGGGTGTCTGTGGCCTTATTATGATTTTAGGCAGCCTCTCTGCTAATGGATGAGGCTGTGTTCCTGTCTTGCTAGTTGTTTGGCATAGCGTGTCCAGCACTGTAGCTTGCTGGTCGTTGAGTGGAGCTGGGTCTTGGCATTGAGATGGAGATCTCTGGGAGATATTCGCCATTTGATATTGTGTGGAGCCGGGAGGTCTCTTGTGGACCAGTGTCCTGAACTTGGCTCTCCCACCTCCGTGGAACAGCCCTGATGCCCGGCTGGAGCACCAAGACCCTGTCCTCCACATGGCTCAGAATAAAAGGCAGAAAAAATAGAAAGAAAGAAAGACAGAGATAAAGAAAGAAAGAAAGAAAGAGGATAAAATAAAATAAAGTAAGATAAAATAAAATAATTAAAATAAAAAATAAATTTTAAGAAAAAAAATTTAAAAAGTAAAAAAAAAACGGATGGACACAACCCTAGGATAAATGGTGAAAGCAAAGCTATACAGACAAAATCTCACACAGAAGCATATACATACACACTCAGAAAAAGAGGAAAAGGGGAAAAAATAATCTATCTTGCTCCCAAAGTCCACCTTCTCAATTTGGGATGATTTCTTATCTCTTCCAGTATTCTACAGATGCAGGGTACATGAATTTGATTGTGGAGCTTTAATCCGCTGTCTGAGGCTGCTGGGAGAAATTTCCCTTTCTCTGTTCGCACAGCTCCCTGGGTTCAGCTTTGGATTTGGCCCCGCCTCTGCGTGTAGGTCGCTGGAGGGCGTCTGTTTTTCACTCAGGCAAGACGGGGTTAAAGGAGCCGCTGATTCGGGGGCTCTGGCTCACTCAGGCCGGGTGGAGGGAGGGGTATGAATGCGCGGCGAGCCTGCGGTGGCAGAGGCCGGCGTGACGTTGCACCAGCCTGAGACGCGCTGTGCGTTCTCCCGGGGAAGTTGTCCCTGGATCACGGGACCCTGGCAGTGGCGGGCTGCACAGGCTCCCCGGAAGGGAGGTGTGGATAGTGACCTGTGCTCGCACACAGGTTTCTTGGTGGCGGCAGCAGCAGCCTTAGCGTCTCATGCCCGTCTCTGGGGTCCGCGCTGTTAGCCGCAGCTCGCACCCATCTCTGGATCTCCTTTAAGCAGCGCTCTTAATCCCCTCTCCTTGCGCACCAGGAAACAAAGAGGCAAGGAAAAGTCTCTTGCCTCTTCGGCAGCTGCAGACTTTTCCCGGAACCGCTCCCGGCTAGCTGTAGTGCACTAGCCCCCTTCAGGCTGTGTTCACGCCGCCTACCCCAGTCCTCTCTCTGCGCTCCGACTGAAGCCCAAGCCTCAGCTCCCAGCCCCCGCCCGTCCCGGCGGGTGAGCAGACAAGCCTCTCGGGCTGGTGAGTGCCGGTCGGCAGCGATCCGCTGTGCGGGAATCTCTCTGCTTTGCCCTCCGCACCCCTGTTGCTGTCCTCTCCTCCGTGGCCGCCACCCGCCGTCTCCACCTGCGAAGGCACTTCTAGCGTGTGGAGACCTTTCCTCCTTCACAGCTCCCTCTCACTGGTGCAGGTCCCGTCCCTATTCTTTTTCTGTTTTTTTCCTTTTGCCCTACCCAGGTACGTGGGGAGTTTCTTGCCTTTTGGGAGGTCTGAGATCTTCTGCCAGCGTTCAGTGGGTGTTCTATAGGAGTTGTTCCACGTGTAGATGTATTTCTGATGTACCTGTGGGGAGGAAAGTGATCTCCGCATCTTACTCTTCCGCCATCTTCTCAAATCCTGTTGAGGAATTTTGCATCTATATTCATCAGCGATATTGGTCTGTAATTTTCATTTTTTGTCTGGTTTTGGTATCAGGGTGATGGTGGTCTCGTAGAATGAGTTTGTGAGTGTTCCTTCCTCTGCAATTTTTGGAAGAGTTTGAGAAGGATGGGTGTTAGCTCTTCTCTAAATGTTTGATTGAATTCACCTGTGAAGCTATCTGGTCCTGGACTTTTGTTGTTGGAAGATTTTTAATCACATTTTCAATTTCATTACTTGTGATTGGTCTGTTCATATTTTCTATTTCTTCCTGGTTCAGTCTTGGAAGGTTATACCTTTCTAAGAATTTGTCCAGTTCTTCCAGGTTGTCCATTTTATTGAGAGAGTTGCTTGTACTAGTCTCTTTTAAAATGTGTACAGAAAGTTGGTTCACTAAACATATATATATAAATCTTGGAGAGTTCTTTGGTGGGATATTAGTGGAATAAGTACCTAGCTACAGGATTCTCAGATCTAAGGGACTGTACAACTGAAATTCTAATAAGGAATATCGACTTCTTTTATAAATGTGCTGCATTCTTCTTAAAGGGCTATCACTAGAGACTGCTTCATGTTATAATACAGCTTGGAGAATTATGCCTTTTACAACCCAACTGACCTAAAGTATAGCCATCAAGGAAAACTTCACTCTTATTTTTTCTTCACTGGTAAGCCATTTACATTTCTGGGAGCAATGAGATGAAACCCAACTAACAAACCATTGGGGCTAAGTCACAGCCTCAACTAGAGCTCTGGGAATAGGAGGTCTCTCGAGGAACAAAATAACCAGACTCTCTGGGAGGCAAATCAGATGACAAATAAGATGAAGCTCTGTTCAACAACTCAACAAAATTCTGCCATCTGTGAAAGAAAAGGAAACATAATACCTGTGATCAATGTGGGAAGCTCTGGAAGAATGTGCAATAAAGCTTAAAGCTTATACAGATAGTGATATTAAAGGAGTTTTTTGATGTCTGTATCATTTGGGGTGCAGTGAAGGAAACACAAGCTACTTTAAGTGTCTCTACTAGAAATGGAAATTAGGCACTCACAAAATTATTGCAGGGGCTAGTAGAATGGAGGTTGGTGTCTGCTGCTGGGCTAAGGGTTAGGCCTCAGAAGATGTAGCCCAGAGTCCAGGGAACTGCAGGAAATTCTGGCTGATGTCTCAGATGCCCTTGGCCATGAGTTTGGTGATTAGGCAGTATATAGGGCATTCTGGCCACCAGAAAAACTGATGTCTGCCAGGGTTATTGGAGTTGCTACTACTGCAGAAAAATAATAAATACTTATAATGTCCCTGCCCCTCTCCCCAGTCTTCCTGCCTTTGAAATCTCATGCAGTTGCATTTCAGTGATGGAACTTAAATCAATTCCAGAATCTCAGTTTTTAAGGGAGCTTTGGAAATGTTCTTTTTAGCCTTCCTAAGTGTGGGAAGTATTACAACATAGGAAAGAACATAGAAGGGGATAGAAATGGGTGCTAAGTGCAAATAGATATTTAGTGAAGTCCCCAAGCAGAAATTGCATTGAAGAATGCATGAGCACTTGACAATCAGGGAGTCATTTAAAACTTACAAGTACTTTAGGAACAGTTTGGTAGTGAGAATCACTTATATTTGCTTGCCCAACATTCATTCTCCATTTATATAAAAATATGTTTCTCTGGGGTAATAGGCTACAATCTATGTCCCATAACCTCCCCTAGACAATGTTGTGACCCACTCAGTCTAATGAATCTCAATCTATCACTTCACTTTCCCTATCCTTCCCTCCCTCCCTTCTTCCCTCTCTCCCACTCTCTGTCTCTGTGTCTCTTATTAATTTTTGTTTCTGGTGCTTCCTGAAGTTTCATTTCCCCTGATTTTGTGTGTAACTCAATATCCTTTCAAAAATATTTCTTTTTGCTTATGTTAGCAAAAAACAGTTTCTGCTTCTAGCAACCAAACTACAACTGATAAGAATTTTTATCACCTCTTTGCCCATCAGAAGTCAAGCAAATATAAAGAGCCAATTGTGGGAATATGTCCTGTGTTTTCTAGGAGAGTTTTAATGCCATGTGATTTTATACTTTTTATTTTTATTTATTTTTTAACGGAAGTGTAGTTGATTTACAGTGTTGTGTTAGTTTCAGGTGTATAGCAAAGTTACTCAGTTTTATTTTATTCAGTTTTCTTTTTCAGATTCTTTTTCCTTATAGGTTATTACGAAATATTGAGTAGAGTTCCCTGTGCTCTACAGTAAGTCCTTGTTGGTTATCTATTTCATACATAGTAGTGTGCACATGTTAATCCCAAACTCCTAATTTATTGCTCCCAACCTCTTCCCCTTTGGTAACCATAAGTTTTTTTTCTATGTCTGTGGGTCTATTTCTGTTTTGTATATAAGTTCATTTGTGCCATTTTAAAAAAATATTCCACATATAAGCAATATCATATGATATTTCTCTTTCTCTGTCTGGCTTACTTTGCTTAGTATAATAACCTCCAGGTATATCCATGTTGCTGCAAATGGCATTATTTCATTCCTTTTTTATGGCTGAGTAATATTCCATTGTGTGTGTGTGTGTGTGTGTGTGTGTGTATATATATATACACACACACACACACACACACACCACATCTTCTTTATCCATTCATCTGTCGATGGACATTTAGGTTGCTTCTGCCTTCTGGCTATTGTAAATAATGCTGCAATGAACATTGTGGTGTATATATCTTTTCAAATTCTGGTTTCCTCTGGATTTACGCCCAGGAGTGGGATTGCTGAATCATAGGGTAGCTCTATTTTTAGTTTTTTAAGGAACCTCTATAAAATCATTAGATACATAACTAGTTTGTTTTGCTTATACCTCATAAAACTTTTTCTATACATGGTATCACACATCAGAATGGTTCTTTGTCAGTATAGAAAATATGACCTCCAGAGCTTCATGTCACTTTAGGCACAAGAATAGATAAGGCATAGCTATACAGAACCACAAGCCAGATAAACTGATGACTATATCAGCTGCTGCAAGGCTAGGCAGGGAAAAGAAAGTTGGAGAAGTAGCACTCTTAAGGAATATTAATAAACATACAAAGATCTGATATTAGCACAGATCTGGAAATGAACTGCAGTAGAAACATCTCCTGTCTTCTACACTTCCTGCAATTCCCTCCTCTTAGGAGGGCCAGGTTTATGCCTACAGCATCTTCTGACCCATTGAACAACAACACAACAAAAACCTAAATCCATTTATATTTCCACATGGCATAACATTTATTTTTCAGAACTGTTAGGAGTTAGCAAATATTCAGTAAGGGCTCTGGACAAGATGGCACCAGAAACTCTCTTGCCCTTTCTTGAATTTTTGCTGATAGCAGGGGAGGGAAATTGCAGGAAATTTTTCTAAGTACTGAACTTGGACACTGCCTGATTTAAGTGGTATATAGGACTTAAGTGACCAATGAAATCCTTTAGATCCTCTAATAAAATACGTTCTTTATTCCATACTCTTTATATTACTCTAGGACCTTCAAAGAGCCATTGACAATTTAAGTGTGAGAATGGGTTCTTGTTGCCATAAAAGGCAGTGTAATTCTAATCACAGTACCAGGTGCCAAACTCTTCATGTTGAGTCAGAGAGGTCAGGATTGAAGGACAAGGTCTGTGAGCCTGATTGTAGATTCAGGCAGATCTGCGTTCAAATTCTAACTTCATCCAAACTTAAGTTAAAATGGCCGTTAATTAGCGTTCTGAGTACTTTGTGTGCATTCTCTCATTTAATTGAGACAACCATCTTATTAGACATGTAAATGACTTGGCTATGGACACGCTGATCAATGGAGGAGCCACGATTTAAACCCTGACTGTCTGACTCCAAATCCTGCACCCTTAACCATTGTACTCTATGGCCTTACACATGAATGTAATATAACTTGGTTTCAGTTACATTTCCCACCCCCCTTTGGAATCCCATGAACATGGTTTCAGTGTCTTCTGATATCTACTATTGCAGAAGTTGTTTTTTTTTTTTGCTTTAAGTTAAACATCTTTATTATGGTGTTTAAATGCCAGATTGAAAGAAACATACTACAGTTGACCCTTGAACAGTGCACTGGAGGTTGGGGTGTGTTAGGGGCGCTGACCCTCTGCCCAGTCAGAAATTCATGTATAATTTATAGTTGGTCCTCCATATTAGTGATTCCTCCTTTCCACTTGTCCATATTGCTAAAGTATGAGGTCAGTCTGATTTGGATTCATTTATAATTATTTTTTTCATTTATTTGCTTTGGTTTAGTTTTATTTTGTTTTGGCTGCATCCTTAAATAATTTTCTTTGTCTCTGTAGCACAAAAGTTTTGTCAGGAGGGACATGGATACTTTTTTTCTTAATTTAGTTTAGATCATAACAAATCCATTCAGTCTGTACACAGAGGGTTTTTCTTTTTCCCATCTCTGCAAAATTTCTTCAGCTGTGACTTTTGGTTTTATTTCTTGTCCAATTCTTCTAGTTTCTTATTCCACAATTTCAGGGCATCTTAGGTTCAATTTCTATTTTTATTCTTCTATCTCTACTATCTGTTTTCATTTTTTTCTGTTCTTTTTCTCTAGATTTTGTGGAAACCTCTCAAGTTTGACATTATGCACTAGATTTTCTCTAGCATTAATTTTGCTGTTCATTGATTTCTAGTTATCCCTTTTTCTTTTGTAAATAATATTTTTTTAAAACACCACCCTGGCCATTCGTTATGTGTTGTTTTTGGCTGCTTTCAGGCCACAATGACATAGTTGAATAGTTGCAACAGATTATAGACCCACAAAGCCTTTAACATTTATTATGTGACCCTTCAAAGAAAAGGCTTGTTGACCTAAACATTTAACATAAGTGTCTTAATATCATTAAATATCTAACAATATTCAGATTTCCTTGATTGTTTTATTTTTAAATTGAGATATAATTGACATATAACATATTAGCTTCAAGTGTACAGCATAATGATTCGATATATGTATATATTGCAAAATGATCACAATAAGTCTAGTTAATATCCATCACCAAACATAGTCACAATCCTGGTTACCTCTTCATTATGCTGTAGAAGTTTCAGTTTCCTGGAAACTATCCACATTTCACCAAGTTCATTTTAATTTCTTCTGTTCACTTTAGTGCTTTTTACATTTCATTTTTAATCTCATTATGCTTATTACATTACAATTCATTTCAACAGAGACATGGCTCCTTATATCCTATAGAGAACACTAGTGGCTTTCTAAATGTTTTCTAGTTTCTAGAGTAAATCATTTCCAAAAGTTTACTGTTATTTGGAGCCTGTGGGATCATAATTACACCTCCCTGTTCTGCAGTATTTTTGAAAATTAGGCCTCATATGTTAGGGTTTTCTCTTTATTCAGTGTCAGTGAGGAGCTTTTCACATTCTGTACAACCCAATATATGAGTTTCATAAGTTTCCCTTGGTCCTACTCACTGCTCATTCAGCCCCTCAGTCAAGGGGTGAGTGAAGACTCCCACCAATATTTGGTGCTTCTCAGGCATTTGTTTTGTGCCCCTCTGTTGGGACCACCTCAGAGGTGGGATCTTCTCACCACACCTGCTGGATATCAGACACTAAATTGGTGTAGTATGTCATAATGGGTACACTTGTTGACCTGAAACAAACAGATTGCCAGATATTTCTCCAGCAAAGATGAGTTTATTCAGGATCAATAGAGAATTGCAGTTTGTGGTCTGCAATCATGGTGAGCCATGCTCAAGTCCCCCAGACAGCAAGGGAAAGAATGCTTTTATAGAAAGGAAAAGGGAGTTGGGAGGGCTATAATAAGCAAAGTGTCCATGGCTTCTCATTGGCTGAGTCCTTGC